ATTATTGTGTTGCATTCCTGACATCTTATATATATTTTATTTAACACTGTTTTGAAAAGTTATAACAAACAATTATCCATTCTTAGTTTGTAAATCAGTACGTCATTTTGATATTTTTTAACATTTACGGCAAGTTTTTAAATTTTCTTAAGACTTCAAAACATGATTATCTGCAATGTATAATATATATACATTGTATTAAATTTTAAAAATATGTGTTGAGTGATGAAAACTATTCTCTGAATTACTGTAAAATTTCTGTAATTAGTTGATAGACATAATGTTTAGAACATGAAATAGTGTCAAACATTATTTTGAATTTATTTTTTAGTAAAGATAGATGAAGATCATTAATAAACATAAAACAGTTTTGTTGCACTCCTGACTGCAGAAACATTAAAGAAAACCATAGAACACAAAAATTTATAAAGTGTTGGCAACATCAACTGGTGACGAAATTGTGCAATACTTATAGTCCAATACTTCATAATTAAAACACACGAAACTATTAAAACTTGGCTTTATGACTTGAATTATTCCCTATTTATGAATAAAACCTAGCTAAAATATATATTTAGAATATAAAATATATTTTATAATATTTTCCTTCACTGAACAAACACTGTCAGTGTGAAGACAACCAGAAACATTCTACTCATCAATTTTCTTTATATTTATTCATATTTGATCAGCAACAATTCTAATATATTTGTTGCACTTCTGACCAAGAGGATTAAAGTAGAATTGTGAAGCGAAAATTACATCAGAACTTGTTGTTTCAGTGAAGTTGAGGTGGAATTACTTGAATTTTACAAAAAAATTTCAGTGTTTTTATTTTTTTACATTCATAAAAAAAATCAAAGAAAAGACAAAACACATCTGAATTGATGGAATTGAAAAGAAGGATTTTAATTATAAAAATGTCAATATTTTAGTACTAAATCATGCATATGAATCATTATTAATTAAAACGATTATTTCCTCGCATGAATAGAAGTCTTTTCATCTTTCAAAATGTGTTGCACTCCTGACCATAGAAATATATAGAACTGAAACACTGGCAGACCCTGTAATTGATAAATCTATTTGGTTAAAATGTTCTTTGTGTCTTTATTGTCCAAAATAAAAATCAGAGAATCATATACTGATAAATGTTGTTTTTTTTTCATGCTTGGGAGCAAAACATCAAATGTTGCACTCCTGACATGTTTGGGTATGCACAGATACTTGACTCTCATTAATGCTGCTTGTGATTTATATAACATTTTTATGTTTTAAATTGTATAACAGTTATTGTTTTATACTTTGAAAATTCTTTTTTGACTGTCTTTCAGATTTTTAAAATTGATGTTTTTGGCAACACTACATTTTTTTCTGTTGCACTCCTGACATGGTATAATTTAACATTTTTTTCAACATCAGCCATGACCACAACCTGGTCAAACAAAAGTTGCTACAGTCTACATTTAAAGCTCAATACTTTGAATGTTATCAGGAAAGTCTTCATTTCCACCAAAATCCATTATCATTTATTTCACATATCTTCAAAAAATATTGAATTTTCAAAATGTCACAAAATGTGTTGCACTCCTGACATTTTAGCATCATATTTAAGCATAACTTTTTTGTGAATTGAGATATCAATGAGATATTTGCATTGGCAGGTATTTAGACACTATCTAAAACATATACTGAGACATAGAAATTTATTCGCATTGCCTGTACTTTTAATGCAAGTTGATATACATGTGTTTTGTCATTTTTTTTAAATTCACCATTATCGCCGTTGACCCCTCACAAAGCCACGCTAACTGTGTACTTGCATTACTGAGATTATGTATTTATTACCTTTTTAAAAAGTATTTTGCTTTGTTTTTGGGAAATCTTATATTATTTATTTTTTATCATTATCATTTCTATTTATTTACTTTTTTTTTTTTTTGGAAATTGACATTTACGTGCACATATCCTGTTTCAAACGTCCTTCTATCGCAACGAAACTGACAAACAATTATAAAAATTGACTGTAAATGTGTCTTGTTATTCAAGACCTGGCAAATTATTACATATTGCCCGACTCTGTTGCACGTTAACTTGTTTCACATCTTGCATTTGAGGATTTTATAACAGTTTGTTTGTTTGTTTCTTTGTTGTTTAACGTCCCTCTCGAGAATTTTTCACTCATATGGAGAAGCCATCGATCACTTCCTGATGGAGAGCTACAAATTTTGACCTATACTCGGCACTTAGGGCCATTGAGCAGTGAGGGGTGTTTTTCGTGCCAGCACCTTCTGCGACACGGGACCTCGGTTTATACGATCTCATCCGAAGGACCGGTCTCCACGTCCCACAGTTAAGAATATCAATTATTGAATGATGCAATTACTAAGCCAAGCTACATGTATTGTGATTTAGAAAAGTAGAAACTTTGCTACTTGGTATTGCTTGTATTAATTATGCTTATTATAATGTTATAGCTAAAAAGACTGGTATCCTCCCCACTAAAACTGTTATTCCTTCAAGAATGTCATGAAATAGAACTGTTTTTCAATGAATGCAGATCTACAGCTTAAACAATTTAGTATACTAAACTTATTTCAAAGCATCAAAACATATCTGGAATTGCTTTGAAAATTAGACATTATTTCAAACTACTAACTTTCTTCAATTTCTTCCCATTTTTATCTTGCAATTTTAAGGCTATAAAATAGGAAATCGTGTATGTTTGACTTTTAATTAAAAAGGAAACGGAACACTTTATGACTAGTACTTGCCATTTGCACCTCCAAACAAAAAATTACCTTTTACAAGTAAGGGCACTAAATATAAGAACACCCTTTCTTATGTAAATTCGTACCTTAGACCGGAAATAAAGAATGTGCAACTTCATATCAAGATTAGCTTGTCATCATACCAATTGCATTCTTTTTACAGGATGCATTTACATATTCAAAAAGAGGAAGCAAAGTATACAGTACATACCATGAGTTCCATGAGCGGCCATGACTAAAGTCGCGGCACCAGACGGTCCGCCAACTTTTCGGAAAACCCCTCCTTTCTTTCGAAAATTCATAGTTTTGGCCACTTCACCAATGATATGTAAGATGTATTGCTCCAAACAGTTAACATCACCATGTTTTATTACAAATAGTTCTTCTAATTTTGGTCTGAGCCTTTTTTGTACCCCGCTTTCGCGAAAGCGAGGGGACATTAAATCTCATTCGTCTGTCAGTCTGTCCGTCTGTCACAAAAACTGTAACCTTGGTCATAACTTTTGAATAAGAAGAAATAGAGTTTTCATATTTCACATGTACATTACCTGTGACAAGACCTTTCCCAATATGATTATTGACCCCATAATCTTGACCTTGACGTTTGACCTACTTTTCAAAAATTTTATTTTTCCTTTTAACTTTTGATTGAGAATGAATAAGGCTTTCATATTTGACATGTGCATTACCTTTGACAAGATGTTTCCGAGCATGATATGTTCTATTACCCCTTGACCTTCATGTTTGACCTAATTTTCAAAAAAAAACCTTTGCTGATTACTTTTGAATGACATATGATAGGGCTTCAGATTTGACACAATATGCCATAAATAATGACGTCTCACCCACTAAGACACCGAAAGCGGGGGACCACAATTCTTTGAATTTGATTGTTTATTTATTATTTACTAGTATCTTTTTTTTTAATTTTTGGCGTCGATTGCAAATTTTTTTTTCAATTCAAGCAGTCGTTGAAAAGTCCGTCGACAAACCCTCGATCATCCGAACATCGACGGACAGTTTGTCAAGTAGGTCGATTCACATTTAGGCATTGCACTTCCCAATATTATACATTATGTATTATAATATTTTCCAAAATTATGTCCGATATGAAAATTTAAGTGCGGTTCAACCCTCGATAAGATAAACGGGCGACGAATGGCTGACTTATGAATTTTTACAGTCATTTGTGTTCCTAGGAATTCATGTCACTGTTCCACATCGCTCGATATACCAGTCTGGGCTATCATTTTTATTTTCAGCTGACGATCCAAAAAAAATCGTGAATATGACTCAGGTAAAAGTAGATTTAAATCTTCTACAATATTAACTTCATTTTCATGTTTAGTTATTACCTCTGAAATACGACAGTAATTTTATGGAAGCAGGAAAATCTCCATTTGGGAAATAGATACACATTAAACTAATTTTCTTATTTTTTCATAGGTTTGATCAATGCAAGAAAATTGCCAGAATTATCTGATATTTGTTAATTGACTACAAAATCAAAATTCCTCTAGAGATTCATGTGTACGAGCTGTAACAAGCTTCATACACGTAACCCCATTTATTTCTTTAATTCTCATAATTTTCCCAGTAAAATATGTATCATTTAGGCATAAATATGATATTTTTTGTTATTGAAAATACTGAAAAACTTTTAACATGGTCATAACTTTTAAACGGTTGATGCTAGGGTTTTCATATCTCAAATGTGTTTTCTTGTGACAAAAACCTTCTTTGAATTCCAATAATTTATATCTATTACATTTGTAACTATGACCTTAGAGCTTGACCTACTTTTTGAAAAACATTAACCTTAATCATGAGCTGCAATACTGGGGGCATCCGTGTTTCACACACACACACACACCCACTCACACACACACACACACACACACACACACACACACACACACATCTTGTTTGATTAATAACTTCAAATTCACAAAAAAAAATTTGCTAGTGTGTCAATCTGCTGGTGTGTAAAAGTTATCAGAATTCCGTGATAAGCGTCAGGAACCTCACTGTCTATAACATTGTGTAACAGTATCTGGAAATGAAGTCTCGATCATACGACGTTGTTGGTGTGCTTCAATAATTTCATTCATATTTTTCATAATTTTACTGTAAGATTGGAAATAAAAATACATCACTAAAATAATCATTTAATTGATAAAAGTAAATCCAATACCTCAACAGAGGAAGCAAATATGTATACATGTGATATTTTAATAACAATTCTAAATCTCATTCATTTAATTTATATACAAATGATCTCTTTTGCCTTCCACATACAGTATTTGTGTTGATGTTGTTTTGGTTTCCTTGACTACAACTAGGCTGTTTAATTTTTCTCAAAGAATCAACAGGCTTAACCAAGCAACCGTGAGAACAGCTTCTCCAGCATAGGTGATTTTTCGAAGCCTGTCATTACCTGATAAGGCATGGGCATAACAGCTGCCGGAATACAGAAGAATTCCCATTGTGAAGAAGACACCAGTCTATAAAAAAAAGGTTTAAAGTCTTGTGTAATTGTTTTTCTTATCTTCTATGTACATGTATTTCACAGAAATTTCTATCTTTAGCTACCATGGCAACACTGTTTATCGACATCCAAAACCAATAATCAGAATTAAGTATCTTAGTGTAGTTTAGGTTTGTGGAAAGTCATATTAAAATCAGACCAAAACTGTTGGAGGAGAAGCATTTTGAAAGTACTTCATAGAAATTTATATTTTAGTAACCATGGCAACACTGTCATAGAAATCAAAAACCAATTAACGAATTGTGTATTTCAGTGTAATCTATTTGGGTCCCAAGTTATATTGAAATCAGACGCAAATGTGTAGGAGTAGTAGCGTTTTGAAAGAATGTCATAGAAATTCTATTTTTAGTAACCATGGCAATACGGTTTTTTAAAATCTAAAAACCAACAGATAGAATTATGTATCTAATTTTAGTCTATGTGCCAAGTTAAATTGAAATCGGACCAATACTGCAGGAGGAGTAGCATTTTGATAGTATTTCAAAGAAATTTCTATTTTTAGTAACCATGGTAACATGGTCCATAAAAATCAAAAACTTAAATATATATATATATATATATATATATATATATATATATATATATATAACTCTGATTTAAGGACTAGGGAGACCAGACCATAATATATGGCTTAAGGAGACAATATACAGATTTTTTAAATTTGCTTTTTTCTAAAAAGAAATACCAGATCTATGATCTATAGAACACCATTTAGTCGACTCTTGCTTTATTTTTTCATTATAAATGCCTCCTAAAAATATATGAAAAAAATGGTCTCCCTAATATTTTATGTTTCTCTCATATGACTTAAGGAGACCAGTGTATATTTTTATAAATATAACTTATGGTTTAAGTAGACCATTTTTCTTTCATAGTAATTTCACTGATTATGCATTAATTAACATATTGTTTCCAACCAGAATAGTTGCGGATGGTCAAGGTCAGCAGAAAGATATTTGTGCTGATGTGACTCAACATGATCGGTACAAAACCTTGAATATAAAACTAAAGTCATTGTACAAGTGACTTATATAGAGAGTAGTTGCCCCCGTGGCGCAGTGGTTAGAGCGTCTGCTCTAGAGTAGCAAAGTAAGGAGTTGATCCTTATGTCGCAGGTTCAAATCCCACTGTGGGATGGGGAGACCGGTCCTTCGGATGAGACCGTATAAATCGAGGTCTCGTGTCGCAGTACGTGCTGACAAGAAAAAAAAACCCTCACTGCTCAAGTGCCGAGTATAGGACAAAATTTGCAGATCTCCACCGGCATGTGGTGGCGTCTCCATATGAGTGAAAAAAATCGAGAGGGACGTTAAACAACACACAATCAATCAATCAACATATAGAGAGTATAAGCCCAGAGTAGCTTGTTCTGATATCCACGTTTAACTCTCAATGCTGTCGCCCAAGTGGTGCAGTGGTAAGAGCCTATGCTCTAGAGTTGCGGTGTTAGGAGTTGATCCTTATGTCACATTTAAATCCCACTGTGGGACGTGGCGACCAGTCCTTCGTACAAACCGAGGTCCAGTGTCGCAGCAGATGCTGGCATGAAAAAGATCCCTCACTGCTCATTGGCCCTGAGTGCCGAGCATAGGTCATTTGCAGCTCTCCATCGGCAAGTGGTGGCATCTCCATATAAGTGAAAAATTCTCGAGAGGGACATTAAACAACAAACAAACTCTCAATGCCCAATACAGTTTAACCTAAAAGTGAATGCAGACATAGATTAGACTTATTCTTTAGACCAAGTATAGTATACTCCATTTGTTTTGTTGAGAACACAAAGTTCACAGTGGACATCAAGTAGTTTTTCCTGCTATTTATACCCAGCTTCTTTTAATTTAAAACCATATAGTCACTGAGTGCATTCACTTTCCAACTAATTGTTTAAATTCTTTGTGATTTAAGAATATGTTTGACCAGTTGAAACAAAGAGTACATGTACTACAAAAAATTTCAAGGTTGTGATTAAGATTCAGTAAAAGTTATGCCCAATCCAGTATAGCAATATGTGGATGCCATGTTCAATATACATATTTGCTCTCATTTAACTTACACAGACCATGAATCAAAATAATTCAAATGCTTAAAAATCATTTTATTTTTACTGCTTGTCAAAATACAGTCACTCAAGCATATCCTTTGTTAATTTGAAAAAAAATGATAGTTTAACATTTATTATTAATACCATACCAAAGCACAAGATAGTGCACTTCTTACATAATCCAATGATTCATGCTGTGATTTGACATATTTAGATGTTTCTCATTTACAGTTCAATATACATGATATACCAGTACAATGTGACACTAACCTAGTATCAATTAAATGGATCATTACTATTCTGTTTTTAAGAAGTTTGCAGGGTAAAAAGTAAAATAAAATAAAAATGTTGATACATTTATTGATTGCTTGTGCTAAAAACTTTTATAAAATATCAAACATTGTATCATAAGAGCTTTTACAAATTAATTCAATACATTCAAAGGTACAAAAATCAAATTATTTTCATCCACAGTTTTATCATATTCAGTTGAACAACAGCTACATCTATTATATAAAATGTATGGTAGTTGGCACTGATGGTATATCCTGAGCAAAGAAAAAGCATACCTAATCAAAAAATACAAAGCTCACTTCTATAAATGTTATCTACTAGTAAGGCAAAGTCTCACTCAACAAACACTCTGGTAATGTATATCACCTGGATCCAAAATCTATGCAAGTTGGTCTGGGTTAGATTTAACTGCTCAATAACCCTGAAAGCAGGATGCATCATCTATGTTTACTGATCACCAAAGAGTATATTGTTAATTTGAATGAACCTTCTCTAAAAAACTGGTCATTAATCCAGAAAATCTAAGTCAAATCAAGGATTCGTACCCTGAAACATTTACATGTACATACATCATCTTTGCAAGTTTGTTCCACATACAGTTTATAATAACATGAGAATAGGACTGCTCAAAACACTTACTCTTGTGGAGTCCCCCATGTGGTGCAAAGGTTAGAGTGTGTAATCTAGAGTCACAAGTAAGGATTTAATCCTTAAGTCTCAGGTTCAGATCCACTGGGGATTTGGGGACCAGTCCTTCATATTCGACCGTATAAACCGAGGTCCCGCCTCGCAGTTGATGTGGGTACAAAAAAGATCCCTTACTGCTACCCTGAGTGCCAAGTATAGGTCAAATTTTGCAGCTCTCCACTAGCAAGTAGTGGCATCTCCAAATGGATGAAAAATTCTTGAGAGGAATGTTAAACAACAAACAAACAAAAACAAAAAACACATGAAGAAAATGTGGATCAGGTCAAGCATCTGAAGTAAATCTGTTAATGTGATTTAATCCATGCAAGTTTGTCCAGATAGAGCTTAGGAATGAACCTTGCTCCTTAAATTTTAACTGGGATACAATGCTAGGTATATAGCAAGAACTCATCTAGACTGTCCAGAAATGCTAAAAAATATTTAGCAATTTCTTACTTGCATGATTTAAAAAAAAATCTGCAATCTAACATTATTTTTAAAAAAATTCAACACATTTTCTAATTTTCAACAAATTCAATGCACTGTGAGATAAATTAACATTTCTAAACCACATACACTGTACTTGAAGTGCAATATACATGCATTATACTGTATGTTAAATCTTTACAGTTCTCTTCAAGTACTCTAATGGTATATAAAATATGAAGACTACCAACAGTGATCAAGCTTTAAAGTCCATTTAAACAATACAAAATTGGAGCAAAGCAAACACAGACCTCTAAAAACACCAGGTGCAATGGAGGAGAAAGCATTTCCTGCCATGTGCTCCTTGACATGATTGGGCATATGGAAAAATCCACAAACAATTCAGTGTAAACAATTTTGATGAAAAACATTAGTCAACATTCAACTTAATGAGATTGAATTTGCTATAACAATCAATTTACATGTAAGTGTACACACATGTATGCATATCCAATTTTATTAGATGAATTATTTCACAATATCCAAAATTGGACAATAATAGTTTCTGATCTAGCCAGACAACAGGAAATTTTTATTATTACTAAAATTACATGAAACTATTAAAGTCTGTGAGGTACAAATTATATCTAAAAATTATACACATTTTAACAAGTGTTTACAGTTTAGTGTATTTATTATACACAAATGATGACTTAGTAAGACATACCAGTAAAGTCCACAGACTGACTTCCAGATTTCAGCTCAAAGGCTTGAAGATTTTTAGTGGCTCTTTCTCTCATCATTTTTTTTCACTGATTATTTTCATTTTTATTTTCAAGACACTGTTTTTGTTGAGGTCTTTTAGCAGTTTGATGCAATCCAAGAACTCCTGAATTTCTTTCTTACCTGGCAAAAATAAAAATTTAAAAGTTTAAAATATAATCAACTTACATGAAGAAAACTAGTAAAACTAGTGATTTTAGGAATGACTCCAATTCTTGGCCAAATTATTCGAGTATAACCTGGTTTGGGTCAGTTTATGCTTTATAATCCGCGAAGCGGATTATAAAACAGCATAAACTGACCCAAACCAGGTTATACTCGAATAATTTGGCCAAGAATTAGAGTCATTCCTTATAATTTAATTTTAAAATCATTAAATAACTATGGGTGTAAAATTTCGTTGCTTTTTATTAGCTCAAATTTGCCGCTCAATAATACAACCATAGTAACGGAAGTAACGGAAGTGATGGGAAGCGAGGGGAGGTAAAAACTGATACATAGGCCTAGCAGCCTTGTTGTTCGTTTACATGTGGTAAGATCGAATTATTGTTTGAAGTTAAAGGTACATTTATTAAATCTGGAATTTTCCATGAATCCCGAGGACTGGAAATGAGAGGATTGTATGGATACAGATGATTCAGCTGGTTGTCAGGGGGGTATGTCCCCATACCAAACCAGGTTATACAGAAATAATTTGTGTTCCTTTTTGGATATTAACCAATCAG